CCTCGATATTTACTAGGGGTGGGTTAGCAACCCCTCCATCGATCCTCGATTTTTTAGGGGGTGGGTTAGCAACCCTTGTTCAATCCTCGATTTTTTAGGGGGTGGGTTTGCACCCCTTCGGCGATCCTCGATTTTATGGGGGGTGGGTTAGCACCCCGAACTTAGGTATGAGTTAAGCCCCTCCAAGACACCGTTAAAAATAGGTTAGGTTAAGTTAGAGTCCTCCAAGACACCGTTAAAAAATAGGTTAGGTTAAGTTAGAGTCCCCCAAGACACCGTTAAAAAATAGGTACGGGGTTAGGCCCCTCCAAGGTACCCCCAAAATTAGGTAGGAGTTAGACACCCCCAAGGTACCCCGAAAATTAGGTACGGGGTTAGGCACCCCCAAGGTACCCCCAAAATTAGGTTAGGTTAAGTTAGAGCCCCCCAAGATGGCGACCGCGACATAGTGCCACAAGATGGCCGACCGCGACAAAGTGACACACTTACTACTCGTCAGGTCAGTTTCGAGCTCGCCTCCATATTTGAGAGGTTAGAATCGGACCAAACTGCCATGGCAATTTCTCATACTGAGCGGACGAAAACAAATTAATCGGTGAGTTTGTTCTTTTTCACTTCCGTTCTAGATAGCCTGGAACACCCTATTAACCATTCCGGTACAGCTGAATAAATGCAAAGAATGTGGGGAACAAGAAGTAAGGGCAGTCACCATGTTAAATCATAGTGTTTTCTCTTTTGTTGCACCCCACATTCTCCCTCTTCACAGCTTTACCGGAGTTAAAGGGGTTGTTTTATTTGAATCTTCAATGCCTCACTGTCTCTCATTTCCAGATTACTTATATTTTGGTTGAAACTGTCCAATTTTTTTTTGGTAAAGTTTAATATTGCATTTCAAATAACCTTACTTATTCTGATTTGTTTTCAATTGTGTTTCAGGAACAATTTCATGCTAAAAATCCTTTGTGGAAGGAGCTAATGAAAAGTATGAACTGTATGATAGATTATTTCATACTGCGAATTTTGGACGTCACTGGGTATAAAACGTATCAAGCATTGAAAGAGATTTCATCAAAAATATTGAGGCCATGGAAATGTTTGTGAAAGGAGAGGACATCTTTACCAGAGTTGAGGAAGCAGACAAGTTCCTCTCTTAGACACACGACGGACAGACAGATGGACACGAGAGTGGTAGGACAAGCCCGCTGTAATGCTTTTTTAAAAGCGCAAGGGCGGGCTAAAAAGCGCCATGTTTCATAGTCACACCCAGTTTTAATTTTATTTCGATATTTTGTATAATCATGCCCTACTTATTAATTAGTTAATCCCCTCCGCACTAACAGCAACGTGGAAGAGTTCTGACTGGGCCTGAGCAGCAAAGGCGGACACCTGGTTTGCCACCTCGACCGTTAGGAAAGTGTTTAGAGTCTCCTGCAGGCGGACTAGCTCGTTTCGGAGATTGACAGCCACAACGACAGCGGCGTCCTGAACGGAGGGGTTGGCAGACACATTTCGAAAGGACGTCTTGATTGGGAAACGCATGTTAAACTCGAGCTCGATCAATTCCTCTTCCCACTTGATAAGAAGGGCCTGCTTGGCTTGTCTGGTTCCCAGAATAGCAGGCCTGTTAATTGCTTGATTTGCGGCTACAGTCTGGAAACAAAATTAGACTTCGATTTGCAAAACTTTTCTTTACCTAACTCATGGTGGTTTTTCAGGGTGACGTCCAAGTAGTTCCCAAACATTATCTTTTTGCACCCATCTACCCATCTGTGACCAATATTTGACTTATGACGTCATATTGAGTCACAACTACCCCAGGATGAGCGCAGAAAGATGTCAAAATGAGGGTCATTTTGACTTCACGGAAACAGTCACGGCTCAAATTTCTCCTTTGGTAGTGAATGTTTGAGAAAGCGGATACGGTAAAAACAATGTCTTATTTTGTGAGAAAAAAGGGAAAACTTTGAGGACCTCCTATACTTGAGGAAGACTCCTCAGACGTTGCCTCAGATTTGAAGGAACCTCCTCAAAAAATGAGAAAAAATTCCAAATTCATTGAGGAGACTTCCTCGAAATCTACCAAACAAAGCAGTTTCTTTAAGTTTTTCCTTTTCCCTCAAAAAACTGGACATTGTTTTGACCGTGGAGGCTGCAAAATCGAAGGTTTTCAGGTGCAATACAGAACCGATTTGCGCCTGTAAAGAATAGTTTTAGTAGCTAGGACACGAATAAGCTCCAAGAAGGCCGCCACGAACAACAAACATTTCACTGTTTTCCCAAACAGCCACTCGTGCTCGGGAGCCTCAATGACCAACCTAATGTTATCGCGTCTGTTGGAGTCAAATTTGATATAGTCGGAATGATAAAATTATCACAAAAATTATTTTATTACATTTTTTGTGATGATTTAATCGCAAATATGTGATACTTTTATCACATTTTTTGGAGTTATCATACCCATTACACTGTGAGAAATATATTTGTACATGTACGATATATTTTGTAATTTGCCATTTACAATACGAGTCGTACATGTACAACCTCCGACTGTCGCTCGATATTCGATTCCAAGTCGATACATAGGGCTAGTAAATTGTACAATTTTAGATTGTACTTGTACGACTTCTTCCATGGAAAATTTTCCTGTACCCGGTACGACAATTTTTCACAGTGTATCGTGGGAATCGCAAAACACCAGTTATCGCAAAAATTGAGTAAATGTCGGTAAATGTATCACAAAACAGATTTCAGTGGGGCTGCTAGCAGCCACTTTAGGAAAATTGATGAATGTTTGATGTGATTCTCAACTTCATCCCTTCTTCCGCTCAAGCGACCAAATTATAAGCTTGGCGTTTACCTTATCCTTGAGCCATTTGTCAATGATTGTCGTATAATTGGTGGCAAACCGCCCTGCCTCCTCCCCTACGGTCTTGGGGAACGCGTCGAGTGCGGCTTTTTGAGCGGCGCGGACCTTGTTGTAGGCCGCAACAGCTTTCTCTACCGCCGCAAGAACGTCTCCACGGGTTTGCTTTATTTGGGTGTCCTGGAAGGCGTCGTAGTCGCTCTGTAGTTTCGTCATGGCGGTCGATAGCTGCCTGGTGAGCTGTGCAGGCAGTGCCGCGGCCTGAAGACGCAGGCGTGCTGCTGCTGCCTCGTAGTCCTCTGCCTGTAACGTGGAGGAAAAGTAAATGGATCACGCAAAAACCCCCGTTTGCTAAAATTGTAGAAGTCAGGTCTTCACATTTTGCTGTTGTACCAAACACATTTTTGTTTTCCCTTTTTTAGCAAACGTGTTTGCTGTTTTCGCAAATAGTTTGCTAAAACAGAAAGATGTTTAACGTTCGCTGCTAAATGTTTTGATGTGTCTATAGCGACACGATAACTCGAGAACGAAAAACGGACGAAATTTTCGCATAGGGTTCAACTTTTACGAGTAACTCCTTCCTAAGGAACCCTTCAATAAATATTCTGTAAAAAATACATTTTGCGACTTGTGGGTTTTTGATTTTTTTTTTAAAGTCAATTTTTGAGCTACAATGTTCATCTTCGGACTTGATGTGTCTTTTTATTATACAAAACGACCCTAAAATTCCCAGATCGCTATCTCAATTCATTCTCGAGTTATTGTGCGAACAGACAATCAAACACACAAACAAACACACAAACAGAATGAAGCTTTTTCGGTCAGTGGAGAAATGGGCTTCGCTGATCGCTCAGCCAATTATTTAATAAATTGAAAAAAGGCTTCACACCGAACGCAGTTAAACATTTCTCTCTTCAGTTAAGTAACAGTTACTGGTAGCAGTGGAGCGGCTTGCTGGAATACGATTTGTAGGCTCGTATGTCGACAAAATTAATAGTTCCTCATGCCAACGTGTTCCTCTGACCATTTTCCTCACGAAATTACACTTTGATCCCGCTTATTTCCATTTACGGGGCGGTTCCAGGATGGGAACCATGCGCGACCCATTTTGTAAATGGTAAATTAAAATAAATATTTTCTTATATTTTACGTGTAAAAACAAACATCTTTTTCACAGTGTGTCAGAGTCCTCATGCCAACGTGTTCCTCTGACCATTTTCCTCACGAAATTACACTTTGATCCCGCTTATTTCCATTTACGGGGCGGTTCCAGGATGGGAATTTCAATTCAGTTGCAAAGGAAGTCAAATCTCGTGGAGTACACACTATGATTCGTTGGAAAACGTGTTCTATAAATCTAATACAAACGTTTTTTAAATTACACAGCAACTTTTCGCCTAGTCAAGGGTTTTTTCTTAAGGGCGCTAGGAGTGTAGAAAGGCCAAATATGTGCGCCCGGTTCCCTACCCGAACCTCCCACATTGAAAGAAGTATATGCTGTATTTTTTCACTCTTCGGTAAAGTATGCTGCAATCAATCCCTTATGAATCGCTTTACTTTCGTCGTATTTTGCCGTATTTTAAGGGGGCAGACCTGTGAATTGCAAGGGTTTGGGAAAACCGCCGCCAAATAAGAAGTGCACCCCGCATCGATTTGGCACTATAGGTTTATAAGTAGAAGTACCCGAAAAAAAATCTCAAAGTTGAGGTAAAAAAAAATGTGTCAAAATTTTGGTACTTTTTCGTGCACTTCGGTGCCTTAGGATTAAGATATCAAAAATCGGCCAGGTCAACCACTAGTCGCTGGTCTAGGCTACATTCAGTGCAAACGCCAAGTCTGTGGCTCAAAAACTACGGTCGGGAGGCTGCACACCGTTTGCAAAAAGTCATTCAGAGAAAAACGGGTTTAAAGTTTTTAGTGCCAATGTATAGCGGCGAACCAAAAGCCAGGGCAACTTACTGAACTGGTCCTAAAAGATGCCGGGGCTCTAGAGGACTCCTTCCTCGTCGTGTATCCTGTCCTGAGCGGCCAGGCGAGCCCTAGCAGTCAAGCCAACCCGCCCACCCGCAGCACGTTTTGGGCTCTCATGAGCGCAATTTTTCGAATTTCAACATCCGCTTTGCGGCGAAAGAAAGAGGAAAGATCAAAGAATTTTTTGAGGCAATAAAAAACAATTGGATATTTTGATGATTTTCACAGGTCTGCCCCCTTAAGTGGAATGAAGCGCGAACGCCTTCTACAGACTGATGTTGAGGCGGAAACTAAAGAAGACAGCCCTCCCCACACATCTGAAGTACTCACTGTTACGGATCACAACCCAAAGAACAGTAACGCATCCTGAACTGTTTCTTCCCTGACGCTCATTGGCTGACGCGTACGCAATTCTCGGACTCGCCTTCGCCTCTAGGATGGTCGTAGACCTTGCGGTGGGTTCGTGAACTTCGTCCCCATCAGCCATGAGCGTCTGGGAGGAATAAGTTCAGGAAGTATTACTGTTCTTTCTTGAATCCGTTTTAAACTAGGCGTAATGCCCTATACAACGCGCTACATTTCGTACAAAGAGGAAACTAATCGAACCATGTATGTTGCCTCGCTTGGAGCGCTTTGAATAGGTCTGTTGGGCAGACTGTTTCGGGGCGAGCCAGCGGGAGCGATCGGACAGTGAAATTTCACGGACAAATTTCGTTGCATATGTAGTCGTCTACCTAAAGGACTTTCAAACTTTAACAAAGCATTCTGGTAGAGCTGAAATGCACAGGAATGCAGGGAACAAGAGAACGGAAGTCACCATTGTAAAGGCTAGCGATCTACGTTTTTTTCTGTATTTCAACTTTACCGGAATGTTTTATTTTAGGTTGGCCCATCAGCAGCTGGAACCCGCCAAACAAAAATGGTCCGTCCTTGGCACCTGATCCATGAGGTTTACGTAACCTTCTATATTTACTCGTGTCGGGAGTCAGTGCCACGTACGTCGCAGCGGAACAGTGTTTCGTAAGGTATCGCGAAGCCTCCTCAGAGAAATGTCTCTTCGCCTCCTACGCGAAACATGGGCACTTGTTGGCTGAGCTATAACGAAGCACATTACTCCACTGACCGCAAAAGTTTAATTCTGTTTCTTGGTTTGTATGTGACTTTTTGTCTGTCGGGACAAACTGTCATTTTCAGGGTCGTTTGGTATCATTAATGAAACATCAACGACAACGACACCTCCCGTCCGAGGGGGAAACCACTTGCGAGATAGTTCGTACACCTTTGCCCGAAATAGTTCAAAATAAAGGCGAAATAACTGAGAAATCGAGTTGCTGACATTGTCGAGAAATAACCCCGAATTAACTGTGAAATAACCGAATTAGACTCGTTTTAAGATACATGTTTTGAGGATAGCCATTAGGATATTTCAGCTGACGCAGACAGGATCCAAAGTAGAACAGCAGTACTCCCTGAACCCATCCTCCTTGGAACTGATTGGCCGATCAGTGCATGAGAGAGAGGAGCTCAAAATAACTGCTGTTCCTCGGATCCGGTTAGTGTCAGGTGAAATACCCTATTCTCGATTATGGTCGAGAAGACTCTGTGACGGAATACCCATAAGAAATCTTCGTGACCACTGTGAAAAATTGATGTAGAAGGTAGGAAACATTTACCAAGGAATTTCAATTTAAATAGCAAATTTACAAAACTCTGCGCACGGACTTGGGATCGAATGAATAGCAAGCGTCAGGGTTTGTCTCGGGGTTTGTCCATGCGCGACCCATTTTGTAAATGGTAAATTAAAATAAATATTTTCTTATATTTTACGTGTAAAAACAAACATCTTTTTCACAGTGTGTCAGAGGGAATGTCCATAAAAACTTGCCAATGCTTTACGCATTAAGCAGACCTCTGTAACGCTCTATGACGATTTAGCATGGGTCCTGGGAATAAACGCCGATGTCCTGCGAGTCTTCAACAAAGGGGCCGATGTCGCGCGAAGAATGTCAGATCTCACGTGCGCCGCGCGGATTAGACATCGGACCTTTCCCTTTAAGTAAAATACGGGCTAACCAGGGGAAAAATGGCGAAAAGAACCAAGACAGAAAATGGAGATTGAACATTCTTACAGCTTGCATTATGTTTTAAGTACTTGCGCCGTTTCCCCAATGGTTTCGCCCGCATTCTACTGAAAACCAAAGGTCCGGTGTCCGATCTGCGTGGCGTTTAAAACACCGGAATTTCATATAATGCAGCGCCGGCCGGACATCGGCCCTAATTTCTAGGGCCCACCGAACCAAATGTATATTCATACCACCGCAGCAGCCACACTGAGCGAGAAGAGGACGACGATGCTGATGCGCGACATGACTGCTCGCCAGCAGAGACCCAACCGCCTTATAAGGCACGCGCGTCGTGAGGCAAAGTTACAAAGCCTAATTAAGACGAGTAATTAGTCAAATGTTGGCAAGACCACGTTTTACGTCACGCGTAACAGGCTTCGCGATATCTCATGAAGTGCTGTTACGTTGCGAAGCTCCAGGCAAGCATCCACCTACCTAGGCATGCGTGGCTGACACCTCTGTCGGAAAAAAAGGGCAGAGTCGTACCGACCTCAAACTTCCACGTGCCTGAGCCTCAAGGCCGAGCAAAGCCTACGTGCTGGAGCTCGTGCACTCCCCCAAGAAGCCGGAGGGCTTCCGCGAGCTCAACGAGTTCTACTTCAAGCTGGAGCGCATGGGGCTGGGGCAGCTCGAGAGGACGGCGTCAACGGGCGACCTGCGGCCGCGGCTCCACAACGAGATCTTCGACTACGACCGGTGGAGCAGCGTCCGCACTAAGGAGCGCGCCGAGGAGGAGCTGCAGCACATTTACCGCCGCGAGTAGCAACTAAGTACGTTGACATGTGATCCGCGCTGGCTGGCGAAGCTATCTCCTCTGAAGCTAATTTGCTTAGAAATCTCACCCACTCAGTTTTTGAAAACCTATGGTCAACTGCAGCTAATGGTGCCCTTGTTTTGAGTGTAGTATGATTCAAACTGGAGCTCCGACGCCTGGAACGCCGCAGATCCGCTTTCGGCCATGTGCCACCCGTGTATGTAGAGAGAGACAGACAGAGTGAGGGTCATGTTTCTTCGACAGGGGCCACTGAATAATAAGTTTTTACTTCAAATCCTTCTTTTGGTACACAACCGTGAAGCCCCTGAACGCCGCAGTCTCAGACAGTTATTATTCATGGACATTCACGTCCCTAGCCGAGGGGTACCCAACTCACCAAAAACGCGTACGAAGACTGGAAATAGGACTGACTGTAGCTGATTGTAAAATATTGGTGTGACTGTAAAAAACTGCTGGAGACTGTACGTAAGGACACGATTGGAAATGATTGGAGGTGACTGGAGGTGATTGTAAGTGTGACTGGAGGTGATTGTAGGTGATTGTAGGTGACTGTAGGTGACTGGAGGTGACTGGAGGTAATTACGGACGTGACTGGAAGAGACCATAGAGGTGACTGGAGAGGCTTCAGTATGAATGTGACTGGATGACTGCAAGTGATTGGAGATGACTGGAGATGATTGGAGGTGACTGGAGGTGATTGTAAGTGTGACTGGAAGAGACCATAGAGGTGACTGGAGAGGCTTCAGTATGAATGTGACTGGATGACTGCAAGTGATTGGAGATGACTGGAGATGATTGGAAGTGACTGGAGGTGATTGGAGGTGACTGGAGGTGTGACTGGAGGTGATTGGAGTTGACTGGAGCTGACTGGAGGTGATTGTAAAGATTGGAGAGACTGTAGACAGACTGGAACAGACTGGGAAGATTGGAGTTGATTGTGAATGATTATATTTTGATTATTTTGCCAAGTGTACAAAGACTGGACCAAGTTAGGTACCCCTCGTCCCTAGCTTTGTCTCTCTCTACATACACGATTGGCACATGGCCGAAAACGGATCTGCGGCGTTCCAGGCGTCGGAGCTCCAGTTTGAATGAT